ACCTGAAGAGTATTCAGAATACAACAGGGGGTTCCTGTCCTGTCATTGCCTTGGCTCATGTGTCATCAGACCCTCATGGTGCCCTGAGGTGAGATCATGTCAAAACACATTTGGTAGTTTCCCCTTTACCCTTTAACTCACATGGATGACCAAGACAGAATTTCTCCTCACGATAGCCATACAATATTAAGTGCACAGGTAATGAGAATAAGAACAAATGTAAATTAGGGGATTATTAGTTGATCCAACACCAAATTCTCAGAACTAACACCATAGGAACTGTATGACAGACAGTAAGGAGAATTGCCCATGAGATCTTGGAGTGAAGGGTTAAAAACTATTAACAGTGTAATTTTTTCAAGTAGATAGAAGTACATGTACTTTTCTTGAGTGAGTGTGAAAGGAAATTCAAGAGAGAGCTGCATTTTATTGCATCAAATTGACTCAAGGCAACAAAGAATTGATTATTGTTACTGCAGTAGTTGTTCATTAATGCTGTTGAGTGGGGTGTTGAGTGGTTGAGTTTGCAAGCAGGCCTCAATGTTGGCTCTGCAGAATAAGTGTTTCTCCATCTGTTGGAAGATTTTAGAAGAGATAGAGCAAGGTGTGCTAGGGGTGTGGCTGACTAGTCTGGCTCAAGGCCTTAAATTTATTTGTTTGCAAATAGGCACTTGTCTTAAAGTGCATATTGTGAGGATGTGCTTGTATTGTCAGTGGAACACTTGTAGGAGAGAAAAATGTGTTTTGCCTTATGTTGTATAGTAATTGATTGTAACATTTTGGAAGCTTTCTTTTTGTATCATCTGGTGATAAAAAATAATAATAATTGGTGAATGTTAGACTACCTTGTGACAAAGGTTTTTTTTGACTTGTATGTACAGTAGAATGAACAAACAACTACTAATCCAAGTCAAGTGAGAGCAGGCTGGACATAATAATAACTTTAAAGTCAAAACTACTAGGAATGTCAGCTTTGAAACTCTTTACAGTGGCCAATGCACATGATCATCTCAGTTGGTAAAACCAAAATTATCTTGTTATAATCCCCTACTGATGCAGCACCACAGTTTAGTTAGAAACTTACCTCCTTTATTTTTAATAGTGATTGACTTGTAGCTGTTCCACACAGTTTTAATGTTATGGGCGTCAAACACTGTATTAGGTGAATGCCAAATGAAAGACAAATTCCCTGAGAAATTGCATCCACATGAAAAGAAAAAAAACCACATGTATGCATGCAGGAGAGAAAGAATCAAAATACACATATTTGTTTCAAAACTTTTGAATGATTGATTTTTTTTCCAATTTACAGAATTCTGGGGCATTAGTTGCAAACCATGCATGTAGCTAATGTAGAAGGGAAATGCATAATTACTTAAAGAGAGGGGTTGAATGGACACTTCAATTTACTTGGGGATACTCTTTTGCCATTTTTTTTTTTTTTTTGCAGACCTGGAGGAATTCTTGTTTGCAAACTTGAAGGAGCTTTTTTCTGGGAAAAAACACCTGGAGCTGATTTTGTCCCCCATTGCCTAACTCTTCCTGAAGGTACTTGACTGTATTAGAGAAAATGACAGATCTGTAAGGGGAAAACTGTTGGAAAAAGTTGAATGTGAATTTCTGAAATTTTCTTCTGGGGGGGGGGGGGGGGGGTATTGATCAGCACAGTTACACTGTATCACTTTGTGAGTTGACCATATTCTAACAAAACCAATCCCAGGATGAAAATGCCATCACCTTTGTGAAGGATGTGTGTTATGTACAGTGTTCACATGTGTGGGCAGTTAAAACTTGTTTTAAAAATGATGCTTGGTTTGGCCCTTAATTCCTGTAGGTGGTTAACATGTACATGGTGTGAGTTCTCTTTACAACAAACACATCAAGCCAGACCTTATTTGCACTTAGTTTATAACACACTTGTACCCGTACCATAACACATTATCATGGGTTAAGTTCCTTTTTGTCTCATACTGTTTAGGGTCTTGCACCAGTTTATCCTTTGAGCCATCAACTCGTCATTGTTTGTTTTCTCTTCGCCCCTCCAAGAAATTCCCTCAAACAAGACATTTGGTAGGATTTTCTTATCTTGTGCAGTTCATTTTGCAAATGAATGTGTACCACATGGTAATTTTTTACGTAATCTCAAGGTTAAACTATGATGTAATTATGTTTAATCTGAGCTGGAAAAAAGTTTAGCCAGTGAGATAAAATAAGAGTCTTTGTTGGTGAAGTGTCTCAAAACTGTTGAGGAAAATGCAAGAAACTCTTTAGGTGGCTAATTTACAATAAGATCTCAGTTGTTAAAACCAAATTATCTTGTAATACACACACCCCCACCCCCACCCCAACATTTTTTTTGCAGGGAAATTAAAATTTTATGTATCCGTAGATGTAGGGATAACATGATTTAATTCGTGCTGTACATGTATGTAACAGTTTTACTAATTAAAAATACAGTTTACTGTAAATGTACTAGGCTTGATCTGAAAGCCTTTGCCTCCTAGAAGTGACTATCATGAATTATCTTATAATTTCAAGGAATCTAGCTGGAAGGAATGACATACAGTGGGATGGTGTTGTATGTGTCTTGATATGAAACCAGATTCTCATTAGCAAGTCACAAGGGGATTTTGTGATTTAGGTTAAGTTAACAACTATATACAATTGGAATAATTATTGTTAATATTATATACACTGTATGGTACAACACACATAGGTTTGTCAGTTGCAAGGTAAAGGTGTGGGTGTATCAATGGCCCGAGCTCAAGCAGAAAGAGCAGGGAATATGGAGGATGGTGACGATGGTATGTACATTGTGGCTGTGTGGGAAACATGAATACTTACTGGTACTGGTAGTTATTGATAATAAACATCATTGTTTAAGGGCATTCAGGAAAGGGTGTCTGATAAAAACAAAGAATTGACTTGGTTTGGTTTTAAGTAGTGTTGCAGCTGTTGGTGTGGAATCAGATGAGTTGATGGTATGGATTGAAAGAGTACAGATATGAAAAGAGGAATGTTACTCACCATTGCTCTCATACTCTGCCACTCAATTTTGTTTGTATTCTTGTACTATATGCTGGTACAACTAACCAGCAGTGCAGGCTGAATGATCCTGTACATGTATTTGGCTTGGCAATAATTACAAACTCGTGTTCTACAATCATGTTATTTTCAGATGCCAGCCTCTGTACCTGTCAAGCTGTCAATCAATGTGTTGGCGGCCCAACACAAAAGCTTCTCAGCAAATCCAGGTTATTCACTTGTCCTGATGATTGCAACACTCTGATGGTGGCAGCTGGTGATGAGAGCCTCTCATCGGTGAGTTTTCCTCAAGCTTTGGTGTATAGCAGTTTTATTATGTTCCTGTGCAGTAAATGATATCTGCAGTGTTGCACTTGAAGCTTGAACACATCAGGGGTAGCCAAGAGTGATGATAAATTTAACCCTTTCACATTTAAG